CGATCTCTCGAGTTTTATAAAACGATCTCTCGAGTTTTATAAAACGAGTTCTCGAGTTTTATAAAACGATCTTCGAGTTTTATAAAACGATCTCTCGAGTTTTATAAAACGATCTCTCGAGATTCATAAAACTGCTGCGTTTACGCGTTTGCGGGGAATTTTGGCTATTGATTCCGTCGTACCGATTTTGACCCCAACACCTACTAGTCCTACATTATTCCTACTTCAGAGCACATATGCGAACATGGATTATCTCTTTTGGAAGAAGAACGCCATAGTAGAACCAGAATTAGACATGGATCCTTATCTTTGGTTTATATGGTATATTTGGAAGGCTCGGAATGATAAACTGTTCAAAGGGATTGATAGAGATCCATTGGAGCTAACCCGATATGCAGAGAGTGAATGTCAAGCCTGGTTCCAAGCCAATGAACAGATTCCTCTATCCTCTCATGGAAACATGGATGATGGCAGCTAGACCATAAGTCTAAGGAATATTTGCATGGTGGATGGATCTTGGACCTCTACAGCTCAGTTTAGTGGAAGTGGATGGGTCTGAAATGATAATATGGGGAATAGTCAGTTGATGAGAATGCATAATTTTGATAGAGTGGAGTCTGCTTTGCACTATGAGCTGGAAGTACTGTGTTGGAAAATGGAGAACATACTTAAATATTCGCCATGTCAGAACTTTGGGACGGACTGCATGGAAATGATTACAATGCTCATGAGTCCACATGATTGGCCAAGCTTCTCAACGGAATTGGAAAATATCATGACATTGCGGATTTGCTATCCAGATTTTAAGATTTTCTATGTTCCTAAGACACATAACGGATTTTCCGATTCTCTAACTAAGACTGCTTGATCTTTCACTACAAGAAAACTCGTCCATTACTAGGGCAGGTTTTCCTCGTTAGTTCCTAGTAAATGGCTTTTTACTAGGAACTTACGAGGAAACGCGTTTCGTCGAAACACGTTCATCGTAAAGCCTTTTTCCTCGTAAAGTCGTAGTAACCACTTTCCTCGTAATTTCCTAGTAACCATTTTCCTCGTAATTTCCTAGTAACCA